ATATCGTAAGGATCGTCGTACACGTACTTAAGAGGATGAGAAATTAATTACGAGGACGGTCAATCGAGGCTAGAAAAATAAAAAAGTAAAAAATTTCGGCAATACACACGACTCTACCATGAACTCGAGTTGTGTTTGATGTATTAATTCTATACAAATAATAATCACTTTTTTTGTTTCTCCTGTGACGCACGCGAGTATAACCTGTGAATTAAAAATTACGCGAACATAGAGCTATATGCGGTATAATGACTGAAGTATATTCGGTTGCAATAATCTTGTATACATTTTCATAAAATATCTGCAAATAAAATTGGGAAAACATGCTAAAACACTTAACATACTGTGGGCATAAACTATTCTTGTGGATTATAATATAATATAATTGCAGATTTACGAAAATTTACGTTTATTTTCCTTCAACATTTATTACTATAATTTACAAATGATTAATTAAAAGATGTTATAAATTTAGCAATGAAATATATTTATAGATGTGAATCAAAGCACATCTGAATGCCACAAAAATGAAATTATTGTCAAAAATTAACAAAAATTAGCTTTTCCCTGGATGAAATTTGGGTTCGGCATTAATTAGCGTGATCAATAAATGTAAATGTAAAGAATGCCGTGCCTTCAATTAAATATAGCAGAAATTAATTGGATGCACAATTTACAAATTATGAAATATTATGAGATATAATTATGAAATATTGAATGTCAAAGATGTGTTCGTAACTCGTGCGTCGCTGTTTGTCGCGAACTCATGTAATTCTTCTATTAATTCCTAATTCTCTCTCTCTCTCTCTCTCTCTCTCTCTCTCTCTCTCTCATAATTATATAAATTTATAATTTATTAATCTTTATATTAACTATCGGAATTGATAATTGAATTATGATTTTACTATAATATATTATAGTTTTGCTATAATATGCTAGATAAAATTTCTACTTTTTTTGTATTCAGGTAAATATTTGCTCAGATAAATTCGAAAAAAGCAGATATGTTTCCAAAGAGTTATAGGGACCAAGAATTCATTTCTCCTGGATACGTAAATTTATCTATGGCATGACAAAATGCCGAGAAATGATACGTTTAAAAAAAAGAAATAAAACGGACTGTTTTGAAATTCACTCACTGCGTGTTACAACTTCACAGCCTGAGAGAAAAATTGTATATAAATTGAAATCACGATCTCATTTAACTGAAAGAGATATACACGTATTGCTTAAAGAAATAATAACGTTGTATGATGATATTTAATGCAACAATTAATTTGTCGAAACAATATGTTACGAGATGAAACATTTTTTCGATTTCCTTCGTTCCTTATTTATTTCATTTATTTCTATTTAGTCTTTAAAAATTCATATCCGCTCTCATTTTTTTCGGAGGTCAATAAAATAATCGATATTGATATGCTCAATTAAAAATATCAGTCGTAGTTATTTTTCATTGACGAGGATTCTTCATATTGCATTTTTCATACACATTATCGAGGAGATAATTTTAATCTTTTTTTCTTACATCTCTCTTTCTCCCCCCCCCCCCTCTCTCTCTCTCTCAAGTAACGTATATTTATGAAAGTCATATTTTAATTGCATTTTTCTCTCGGCATATGAAGTAAAAAATAACAAGCATATACGAAAAGCATTTTTATTACGAATATTTTAGTACGAAGTGTATAAACAGATCGCATAACAAAGAAAGTATCATTTATTGATCGAAACGACAAATTAATATTCACTCATGTCACGAGTTATTTATGAAGTGCGATTATTCATTTTATCTGTATAATTTCTCTAATTAATGTTTTATTGTATATCTTTTATAGATATACATATGTAATCATCAATACTTGACTTATTGAGTCATTTTTATTAATGAAAGCCCTTGCCATACACAAACTTCAATGTACGTCTTTTATCAAGAAATGTTTTTAAAATTTCCTATAAATAATGTATATTAATAATACAATAAAACATAATATATGTATAATAGATTTAGATAAAAAAGAAATACATGAGCATGCGCCGAAACTTGTTGTTATTAACAACATTTTTTTTAACATTTTTACAAATTTACAAGAGTGACCGATATAATCCGTCACTATTTACTTGCCATTTTATAAATATTTTACTCTATCTCTTCGGCCAATATTATTCAATTATTAATAATTCATGAATTCTAACGAGATCTGATTGCACCGCAAGTTCGTAACACTTTTTTCGATAAGTATAAAAACTCGACGATTACACATGTACGTTATCATAAATCAATTATTAATGGTAAGATTATATATTGTATCATCTTAAGCGGCATGCGTGTTACATTGTCAATATTTATAGCGTTATATCACGATCATCATTCGTCTTCTGAAATTCCTATTTCTTCTAATCTCTGTTAATACAAACATATTCGAAATTATCTCCGTTCATTTTTTCAGATAACATTATGTTCTTGATGAATTTTCTAGGATATTATTTTGTACGATTTTTATAATAAATTCGACGCAATATGTTCATCAAGTAAAAATTTGTTGCGAATACATATGATACAACGATGCAAAGCTGTTTCATAATCGAGCAAAACATTTTCTGGTTATTGTCACAGACTATTTCGCTCTCTTATAATATTTTATCACTACCTTTCTTTTCGAAGACACTGATGACATTCTGTAGTTAACAGCACTGTATATAAAAAGATGATCATGTGTGTGTATATACAATTATACAAGTATCTGTACTTAGACTTAAATTATAGCCGAAATTAGGCCATAACCGAATTTAGGAATCAGCGCAGCGAAAACGGATTTGTTTCGCATCGAGATCTACGATTGATATCGATGATCATAATCGCGGATCGATCAATCCGAAATTGCCTAACGCCACTTAAATACACGTACGTTCAATTTATTGGGAAACGACGATTTTGCTTAATATCTAGTCATTAAATCGTTAGTTTGACCTGAATTTGTGTCATTACAATAATGGACCAATATTTAACAATTTTTTAAATTAAAATTATTTATATTATTTACAGAATTCTCTTCACTTGAGATTTCGAACTTCATCAGAATGCATGTTACATGAATGCGCTATTAGTTTTTGCAGCTTTTTTTCTATTGCATAATATTTTAAAGAAGCTATTATTTAAATATGTCGGAAAATATATTTTAATATTTCATAATTTTATTATATATTTTGTATTTATTATGATATATTTTCTACACAGATACAGATTCGGGTCATTTTACGCCTAAATTAAGCATATTCAAGTTAGATTTAACATTAATTTTATGCTAAGCGTGTGAATTTTTGATCAACATTCCCTTTTAAGTGATATAAGATCGTAATTGCACTATACAAGAAGTAGGATATCTCCTTTACAGAATTCTGTGAGCAATTTACACTCCTTGTGTGTTATTTTATAGCAAATACAATTGATGTATATATTTTCTAATTATTTTTTTTTGCATACGTACTGAAAAATATCATGGCAAATTTCAAATGATAAATCTTGTAGGAGATTGTTATTTAATACCTAATTTTTTTCTAAGAAAAACAATCATGTATCTAGTATGATTTGTAAACTTCTTTTTATTCGAAAACATTTGTAAACAAGACAAAATTGATATTACGTATGTTATGATATAAATATACAAATGTTTACAAATGTGTAACATACGCTAAAAATATAAAAATTGATTTTAGTTCTACAAAGATTGCACCGAAAATGATGATTATCGATCGTTACTATAAATAACAATAGCAATAAACTGCATATAAACTGTTTAGCTTGAATTCTATTAGCATTGTCGTATTGAAGATGGATATTGAAGATGAATTTTAAAGCTGAAACAAACTTTTGCCGTTCTAAAGTATCTTTAACTATAGCTAGAATCTTGGTAAAATATATTGATCTAGTTAGAGATTTCGCAGGAAACTAAAGAAATATTCAATGTATATAAAATTATTCAATGTAAGTTTTCTGCTTGTAATTCCTTAGATTTTTGCAAATCAGCAATCATAACTTTCGGTACAATCTTCGTGTTAAGTATAACAATCTTTTCAAATTTTATATTAAATTGATTTTATTAAATTGACATTTTGTTTTCTGATGTCATATTTTATATAGTGATTATAATGTTCTCATTATTAACACATTGTTCTTTATATGTCTTTTCACAGAAAATCAGTGCTGTAAGAAGTATTTAATAAGTGAATAAGTTATTGTTTGATTAGCTACTCTGATGATATCAATAACAATAATGTAATATTATTATATATAGTTTACATTTACCATTACAAATTACCATTTTTTTCATGACCATGTTCAATGTGTATAAATGCCATTTATTGAATTGTCATTTTGAATTGAATCGGATCAAGTATATTGAGACTATGTATGTGCGCATGTGCGTGTGTGTGTGCATGGCGTGTGCGTTGCGTTTGCGTTTGCGTTTGCGTATGCGTGTGCGTGTGCGTTTGCGTTTGCATATGCGGGTGCGTGCGTGCGTGCGTGCGTGCGTGCGTGCGTGCGTGTGTGTGTGTGTGTGTGTGTGTGTGTGTGTGTTTGTGTATGTGTAAAATAGGTTCAATTATATAAAAGCCACAGAAAATCAGCAATTATTGTAGAAATGAAGATGTCTTACAAAATAAACTACAAAATAAACTGCAAATTAACAAAATTACTTTGACTGTTTTATTATTATTATTTCTGTATTTTATGATTGATATTTACGTTTTATTTTACAAGTATATCAAAATGCACGTAAATACCAGGATAAATTAACAAAAGGATGAAAAAATGGTCATGTATCATATGACAAAATAAGTATCTTATTTACAGATAAACAATTACTTACAAATAGAGCATTATCATTTACAATTATTGTTAATACGGTTAATATGATTCATTTATCAATTTAAAACTAATTTTTAAAAAAATGGCGTTTTCTGAGGAACATAATTAGTTTTTTGTAAAAGAAATAATAAGATGCACAAAAATGTTTATGTGTGTGTGATTGCAAATTTTATAATTTCGACATTTTATCTACCTACTAGCGATTCCCTAATTTTTTTATCAATCCAGCGACGATAATATGCTATACGAACGTAAACTCCAGGTCTGTTTGCTTTACCGCAATGCTGACCCCAACTAGTAATCCCGTACAAATTGAAAGCTCCTATTATAAAAGGAATATGAATTTTATAATAATACTATTATTGCAAGTACTAATTGAACATAACAAGATACAATATTTTTCATTTTAAGATAGAATTCATAAACTTTAATTTTTGAATAAAAAATGATAACTAATTAAACTGTTTTTTGGATATAAAAAGTTTATATATTAATATTTTCTGAACTTTACTCTATTATCTGCCCATCTCCTATATTACATAAATTTTCTTTTATAATTTTGATTGCATTCTTTATTATTTAAAAAAATTCTATTGTTATATGACCCGTTATTGTACGATTCTTTTACTAATTTCAGTAATTATAATTAATTTATTAATTATTTCAACATTACCATTGTGATAACATGCTAAAGGACCTCCGGAATCGCCATCGCATGTATCGATACCTTCATCAAGATATCCAGCACACATCATTCCATCACTTATGGCACCTTCACCATAAACATAACTAGCTCGGCAAATTGATTGATCCAATAAAGGCACCCAGCCATATCGTAAATTTTTCGATTGCGCTGCAAAAGGATTTACTACATCTTATAATATTCTTATAATACTTAAAATATTTCTCTTCAGTATTTAATACCTACTCGTCTTGCCCGTTTCAATACTGCCGAATCCACTAATCGTGCAATTCAGTCCAGGCGGATATTCGGCATTCTCAGCCGGCAAGCAAATTGGCATGATATCTTTGCCAAGCGGGATGCCGAGACCTTTAAGTAAAACCAAAGCGATATCATTGTTCATTCTGTGGCCTTTACGAAATTCCTCGTGTACGTAATAATCTTCGATGTTGGCTTCTATTTCCGTTCCTTCGTGAATCTGAGGATATCAAATATGATTTAAAGTGTAAAGTGTCACATATTTAACAAATATATATAAAATGCCTGGTAAAAAATTTTTTATGCATAAATATGTATAAATATGTACAAACATACACAAATATTCTTAAACATGTTCATTCATATCCATAGAGAAAAGCCCTTCCTATTATGAGAGCCCCCCCTATTAGGCGCCTAATATGAGATAGCGGCGTTTCTGCTAAATAAAGAACTAATAGATACTATCTATTGGTTCCACCATGAATTTATTGCTCTTGGATTGAAAACTATTTAGTAGAAAATTCATTATTAGATCATGCCTGTAGTCATTGTAAAAAAGATTTTTAGAATTTGGATGTCTTCAAGTTTCATTGAGATGAGCCTTTAAACATTGTTTATTACTTAATAAATAAATATTTAGTAATAAATTCTTTATGTAGTGATGAGTAAGGTCGTACTAATAGAAAAAGTACGGGATATGTTGAATTGCTTAATTACAGAAGTTAGATTTGATAAATCGTAAGGCGTAGAAATCGTAATATGAAGTACTCAAGATATTTCTAATATGAAATAATGCTCCCATGTCATAGTGAAAATCGTTGCTAAAATATAAATACTCATTTTTCGCGCACTCTGGCTGTGTTTGTTTGTATTTAAGAAACATTAAATAAAGTTTTTCAGTTACAATATTGTATACTTTGCGTTTTACTATCGATTTTTCGAGGCATCTCATATTAGGAGCACAATTTTTTGCCTTTGCGATTTGCTCACTTTTTACATTTCTTTAATTTAAAAAAAAATGGAATTTGAATTAAATTTTATATAACATTATCTTAAAGCTTATTAAATTCCTTTCAGAATAACATATTATTTTTTTAAATTCTGCCCATAAACTTCTAGCATTTATTCAAAATGAATTCGGTATTTCATAATAGGGATCTTTCCTCTATATATTCAATCTTAATATATACAATCTTTCTTTTGTAAAATTACTTTTTAGTGTAATAGATATAATAATAGTTTATACATATTTATACATATTCATGAAAAACTTTTTACCGAGATGTAGTAAATGTTCTTAGAAATTCAATGATAATTTTATTAGATAATAATTACGTTCACTTACATCCGTATTATAATCACCCGCACGAACAAAATATGTGCCTTTGTTGTAACCTTCTAGACAATGTGCTGCTGTTAGCACGTGTAGAGGCGATATAATAACAGCACCGCACCAATGATTTGATCGACTGTGCCCTCGAACTCGAATACTAGCCTAAATATTATTTAACAATCTCTTTTACCATCAATCTCGCTGTACATCTGACGCAATATTTATTTTAACATAATGAATATAAAATAATGATAATTCTTCATTAGTTACTATAAAAAATCCAATAATATTTCTTCTAAAAATAATTTACCTGCCAAGGATAAGTGCCTTTTGGTGCAATGGAGCCATGTACTACTTTCTGAAATATTAAATCTTCATCGCTATCGAAATCTTTGGCACGTTGGCCACAATTTGATGGAAGCAGCTCGTTAATGTTTTGTTCCGAATGTTCTTGGCTGTTTATCCAGTATGACTGCTTAATAAAAGTAAAATTAAGAAATAAACAGCAAATCATATTAAAGTTATGAAATTTTTGTTTACTTTGAAATTGTTTTAATAAATGCAATCATTACAACTTATGTCAAGTATTTATATACTGTGTACATATTTAGTACATTGTTACGTTATATTTTACTGTATATTAAATAAATTGAAATATTAATTTAAATAATTAAGCAATTTACATATACTTCTTTGTACAAATATGTTAAATTTTAATATTATTGTTCAATACGTAATCTAACAAATAAAATAAACTTTAATATAAAAAAATATAATAAAATAAATTAAGATATAATAATTATTTGTTTTATTTACTTCGGCATCGTTAACATCTCCAGGTGAACAAATTACACCTGCGTCCTCATTATGATCGCAATTATGTTGACCCCAGTGATTATGCTCACATCGATATAATTGCGATTCATTTCCATGACAGAAAACCTTTTTTGTAAAAATTAAGAAAATTTTCTTAGAATATTAATAAAATAAGACATACAGTAGATAATATCGTAGACATACAGTAGACTATATGTATATTTTATATATTATTATTTATATCAGCCATTATCTTCTTCATTAAATTAATTATCACGAAATACTTAAAATATATTGAAAATATGTTAAATATGTATATTTAAGAAAATATAAAATATAGTAAGATAAACAAAAATTTAAAAATTAACAAATTTCTTTGCAAGAAATCAAAATATTTTATGCTACAAATGTAATACCTCATCGAGCCATATTGGTCCTTGGCCAGGTCCAAAGAAACCGTTTTTCTTAGCTATTGCGATACCACCGTATCCTAAAGATCTACAAATGACTACTGCTGTAGCATTTGTAAAGTCATCATCGCACACGGTACCCCACACGCCATGATGACGCACTTCTACTCTTCCTTGCAGAGAATTGCTACCATTCGCCAAGCGCAACTCAAATGGTGCCTAAAATCAAAGATAATAAAAGATATGCAAATCTATTTCTACTTTTCTTCCAACTTTCTTACATCGCAATATTCTGAACTTTCATCGGACTGATCTGGACAATCGACCACTTCGTCGCAAATGAAAGGAGTCGGTATGCAAGTTGGACTATTCTTACATTTCCAATAACCTTCCTGACAAGTATTGACTGCGGTCTTACATACGATTCCAACAGCCTCTTCCGGTTGACAATTATGAACTCCCCATCTAAAAACAAAAATATATATAAATAATTCAGTTACATCGTGCCAATTTTAATTGAATTATTATAAGCAATGTACATCCGACGCGATGTAACGATCAATTTCCAACATTACAATATTAAAAATATTTATATGTTTACAAATTTTAAATAAAATATAACGTCAATTTTTACCCGTTAAAATCGCATTCACGTAATGTAGTTTCATTTCCACGACATTTCAATTGATCTACCATAAATCTCGTGGGTGGATCGAGATTTCCGTAAAATCCACCCGGTCTAACTTCCAAAGCTCCAAGATCGAATCCAAGCTCTTTGCAAATAACACCAGCATTGATCATACCAAAGCCGTCGTCACATACCTGGCCCCAATGTCCTAGAACTATTCAACAATATGGACATTGAGAAAAAATATAAAATAAAAGAAAAGAATGTGTGTGAGAGAGAGAGAGAGAGAGAGAGAGAGAGAGAGAGAGAAACCACTTTGCTTCTAAAATATTGTACATAGTAAGTTTTCGGTCCAAAATAGAAGAAACGTTGAAAGAAAAAAAACGGCGATTATTGTTTTTCAATATCATTTCTCTTAAATTTAATATACTTGGTATATTTCCATGTCTTTAAAAAAAAACTGTTAGTCTCAAAATGAGTCTCGACGGCTATTTAAAGTTCTTCGTCGGTGTGAAATCTCCTCCCTCGCAAGTCTGATTTCAATTTCGTGAGTAAACATAGTAATCGCTCGGACTGTAGACCTTACAATCCATATTTGGTTCCGAGCGGGGACAAATTTTTCATATATAAATATAAATGGTTATATAATTATATATATATATATATATATACATATATATAATATGCCCATATAGAATTATATATAATTATATGTACATAATTACGTACAATTACATGTAATTTTATATATATTTATATATAATTATACATATATGGATAATTTTTTCCCAGGCGATTACTATTATTTTTTAAGTGCATGAAGATACATATATCAAAGTGTATTGAACTTAAAGGAGGTTATATTAAAAAACAATAATTGTCTTTTCTTCTTTTAACATTTCTTCTATTTTGAGCCGGAAATATTTGAACTTAACTGTTTATTTCATCATTTCTTTACAATTTAAAAAAAAAACATATGTGTAGATTTTATTTTTACATATCGTATAATTACTTACAGAAAAAATTTTAAATATGAAATAAATTGTTAAAAAATTAAATTTAAATGTATGTGACATAATTAAAAGGGAGCATTTAAACTAATAACACAAATGAAAATAATAAAGTCTTTGTTATATTACGTTAAAATATATGCTACATTATATACTTTACTTTTTATGTAATTTGTTTACTTGAATACTTTTTATGTATTCTTGCAATTGTCTCTGATAAAAATTTTTTTTATATATTTTCATATAATTTTTCAAAATTTCTGTATAAACAAACAACGAGTGCCAACTGAAATCTATTGGAAATCATGACCTTGTCAAAATATAGAGATCAATATGATCGGATTCCTCTAAAGTGTATAATTAAAGCCGATTTTTTTATCAAGGATATAATACTTACTTTTGACTTCTATTCGACCTTCATAACTTTTATTTGCACCAGCCAAGCGAATACCGTAATCAAAATTTTCAGCTGTGCAGATATTCTCATCGCTGCGATCGTTGCAATCATTTTTGCCGTCGCAGACTTTTGTTTGATTTATACACTTGCGATTATTGCAAATATACATGCCATCACAGTTCATGCTTCTCTCTCTCATTTCGTAATAATCGAACTCTTTGTCAGGTTTGAGTGCACCAGTCAAGCCGATGTTACTATTACTCAATAAACACACGTTACCATTCAATCTAAAACAGAATATAATATCTTTGTAAATAACTGTACATTATAAAAAGAAAATAATTAATCTCAATGATCACAATGTAGTTGTTACGAAAAAAGTCATTTTGTTTTTATGCAGCGATTATACACAATATAACTGAAATAAGAGGACAAACTTTGAGAGCGAAAAAAAGTTCATATATCGCAAACCTGTTGTTACAGCTCAAATGTTTATATTATTAGTTCATGACACAACATATTCGTGCGTGTATTAAATAAAGATTGAAGATACTTTGAACATTCGTTGTAATTAAAAATGGAAAATAAATAATATTAAATATGTATAATAATAAATATTATTTTTTCATTTCTCATTAATAAACTTTTGTTTGAGCTGTATCTTAGTAACAATGGGGGTTTGCAGATATACATTTATATAAATTTTATATAAATTTATATATATATATATATATATATATGTATTTTACATGTTTGATGTAGGGATTTCATCCCAGATGTTTATCCTCCCTTAGTTACACTTTATATAAATTACATATCTTTTATAGATAACTTTTATAAAATATACTAAATATACTATTGATATTATTTATCATTAGATAAATGTTAATTAAATAAATTTACTAATTTAATATTTAAGTAATGAAATGTTCTTTTTCTTAATATCGCTTCTCATGAGATATGCGTTGCATATAAATCAATAATTAAATATAAATTAAATAACTTAATAAATAAAAATAACTTTTAAACAAACTTATGGTTAAATGAGCGACAAATAAAATCAGCTTCTTTGCATCTTAATGCACAGGTTTTTAAAGGTGTATTTAACCATTTTTCGACATCATAGCCTTCAAGTTTATGTTTTGTAGATTTTTCAAAGAGATTCAGATCCAATACACATTTTCTTTCGTCAGCCCCATTTGTACAATCCTAAATAACATTATATTAAATGTTATAATAATTATATCATTAATCTTTACTTAAATAAAATAAACACAATGATAAGTTTATTAAAAAGTTAAGATTCTTTTTTTTATCATAGAAGTTTTATAAACATAGTTTAATAATTGGCAACGTTAGCAAACATTTGATTAGTTGGGTAGACAAGTTAGGGGAGAGGAAAAACTATGTAGAGCAAATTTAGAGATCAGATAATTTTAATTTAGATAGGTAAATAAAGTGCGTGTAGAAGACACAAAAGGATGAGCAAGATTAAAGTAAAAAATGATGAACTAAGTCCCTTTCTTGGCTATATATGCTGAAGTGAATAAATATATTCTATTCTATATCTCACCTCCTCTCCATCACAAACCCATGGAGATGGAATGCACTCTCCTGGCGTACATTCAAAATGTTTAGGTTTGCATTGACCAGTCAACATAGATCGTTTTGAATCTAAAGAAAAAAAAAATTAATTTTATGTAGTATTACAATCTTTATTTTTACCCCTTTTTTCACAATTTTATTGAAAAGATTCGATATCTACTGATATATTTTAGTCAAATAGATACCAATATTTCCACAGGCAGGAATATCGCAATATTCACGCTTTCCGGTTCCTGTAAAGCACCACGGTCTCGATTCTTTTATTGGATTAGGATTTCTGCAATAGTTATGCATTTCCAGTTTGTCTCGAATTTCTTTATTAACAACCTAATGATAAAAATTAAGTTATTCTTTGATTTAATGGAAAGCATATTTTTAATATGTATACACATAAAGGCATCTACATTTATACGTAATTGATGTACTATTCTTTTATCGGCCCACGAAAGACATTCATTTCCTGATATTGTTACATTAGCTTTTCCAGTGTATTGATTTCCTTTCCCATAAACGCAACCTAAACAAATAAATAAGTTTATAAATTGTCTTTTTGTATTTAAGATATTTATCATAATAGATATACATATATTACAAAGTCATGCATCACTTTATGTCGTATATTTGTATATTTCAAATCAAATTAAGTAAAATTCGATAAAGCATAGCAACATTATTTTTATAGTACAAGAGACAAAAGATATTATTAAAAATAAATAATTTCTCACAACTTATTTGTGTGTCTAATTTCTCATATACATCTATATACCCAGCAAACGAGAATGAATTAAAATGGATTGAAATTTTTTTCTATTCGAATGCGTATTTTAAATAGCATTCTTTTTCTTGACTTTAATTGGATTCAATTGGATTCAATTGGATTCAATTGGATGCAATTGGATTGAAAAACTTTCCTATTCAAAATTTTGAATTGAACAGTATTCACAGTATGCACAGAAAAAGTTAATATTATTTTTAGATTGAAAGGTATAGAGATATGCTCCTACAAATGACATGCAATTCCTATAAATGAATAAAAATTCAGGATTGAAAAGTATTCATTTTGACATTCGTGAATCAATATTTTTGAAAATCTGAATCCATTTCAATTCATTTCAATCCATTCTCGTTTGCTGGGTATTTTAATATATATTATTATATTAGGTGTTGGAATTAATTCGTAGCGTTTTACAAGTGATGGGAAGTACTTTCATTAATGTATTTTTTAATGCTCATGTGAAATAAATAACATTCTTTCATTAAAAACGCTACGAATTAATTCCAACACCTAATATTATATATTGTTTATATATTCAATAATTCTTTAATAATACCAATATCATCATAAGGCCTTTTGCAAATAAAAGAATGTCCTTTGGAAGTAGTTGCACAGTCTTCAGTGTCCCAGAAGAAGTAATCTGTGTCACAAATCAATTCAGATCGTTCATGACACGAAAATTTCCTCTTCATCACAATACAAAGAGGACGAGATCCTACCCATGGTGATTGTTTCGTATCGTTCATCCACCCAGGCCACCACTTTGTAAATCTAACAAAATGTTTCACAAAAAATTCAAAAACATAATAATCTTTTTAAGTTTATTTATTTTTAATAGGATGCAAATAAATTTTTCATCCAAAGAAGTTATTATTAGCTTGATAGAAAAACAAAAGAATATGTTTTATTATATAGATAAAAATACAAAAATATAAATATTAATAATAAAAAAATGAATTTAACATTTTGTAACAACTTAAATAGAAGCTATAGGTATTCTAAGAATCATACTTAAATTTGGCATGAGCAGAATTCGCCCAGATCCATAAGGTGCGACCCATGCTAGTAAAACCGAAGCCAGAAGTCATAATTGAGCTAACTTCCGGATACGATTGCAATAGCCATTCCGAAACAAAGTTATTTTCCGCCTGATTAGTAATGTCAATGAGTCGTGCATTCCTTCGTTTGCAATATTCCAATGCTTCAGCGTGATTAAATCCACTATCAGGATCAGCTAAGTAATAGCATTGACCATTATGAGGTATTTCGTCCTTGTAACAATGTGCGATACGATTAGGAATACATCGCACACCAATTGCATCTCTATCTATATGGCACTCTTGATTATGTGTGAATCTAAATTATTATGATTAATTTTAGAGTAAATTTATCACGATAAATTTTAAAGTAACAATTTTTATTACAATTTGCGTCGACAAAAAACATTACAAATGAAAGATAGCCATAAACGTAACAAAAACCAAAGGTATTAATTATAAATATTTTGCTATTATTATGTGCATAAGAAATCTAGATTTTGTATAAAGATTATGCGTTTCGCGGGTTTTCTCCGTGTCCAGATCCATTCTTGGAATGCCAATGTTTCATGAACCTTGCAGTCCACTTCATCAAGGCGAAGAGCAGCCTGATATATGGTATCACGAAATGTTCGGAAAACTCGTGAAACGCATAATTTTTATATAGGAAGTATCTGTGGAAGCCTCAAAAATATTATCAAATCTAGATTTTAATGACCATCTTTATTCAATAAAAGGAATATTTATAAATCTCTGATAGCTCATATCTTACTTGCATGATTGAAATCTGGTTTCATTGCCGAGACATGTTACAGTATTTGCAGCGATCCAAGTTGGCATATTATTATGATTGTTTCTGCCTTGCCAAGCCATTTCTGCGCCTCTATAATAAATAAAATACAATAGTTTGTAGAATATTACGTTTCCCATTGCCAATCATTTTATATTTTCATCTCAAATAATGAAAGTTAATAATAGATAAAAACATCTTTAGAACATTGGAAATCTGTGCTGTATAAGTGAAATTCAGATTCATACTCAACGTCCAAAAATTAAGAGATATGACTGGTTTCGTTCTGATTTTTTTGTTAAACAATGTTATTACATCTAGATAAGGAATCTATTAAAAAAAGATATACAAAGCTACTATGTCATTAATTGTCTTTACAATCATTTAATGATATTGTAGATACTTACTTATTGTATATAGCTAATGTATAATAATACAGATACAAATAGTTTCAACACAATTTTTTAAATAGAATAATTTTTCATTTTACATACCTGCTATATCCGAGTTGTCTACATAAAATATGAGCTTCTTTTAAAGTCCAACTATTTCTAGAATCGCATACAATACCCCAACCAGGCAGTTCACCTTGTATCTCAACATAACCATTGCTTGGCTCAGAACCACCTCTCAAACGAATAATCTATTGATATATTAAATAAAATGCTTTTTGTTATTATAATTAAGATTAAATTTTTTAAATTTATCTTTATGTAAATGTTCTCACCTGACCAGATATAGGCGTTAGTCGAACGGACTTTTTTGAATGAGTTAATGGATGCACTGGCGGCACGTAATAAACTGGGAATGACGGCTCTTCTACAATAAAATTAATTATTGTTAATTAAATTGTTATTAATTAAAATTAATTAATAATAAATGTTTTATTTACTTATATTTTATTTATTTATTTAGCTATCACTTATTTGTAGATCCAATATAGAATATACAATATGATTTATATTATCATGTATATTTGATATATATTTACACGAATATATTTTTATATATAATACTAATTTTTCCCCAAAGTTATAATTAAGTTAATGTCATGCGGAAGCACAAAAAGCGAATACATGCAAAAGGATAAAACCAATTAAGTTAGCTAAACAAATTTATGTAAATAAATATAATATATAATACATAAATTTAATACATAAATTTAATAATATAATGTGTAAATAATTCTTATATAATGGACAAGTATATAATATTAAAAATAAAAGTTACATTTTAACTTTTTAGTGTTATCTAATATCCATGAATAATTATTATGTAAAAAATGTTGCACATAAAATACATATTATAAATATTTTAATAAATAGCGATTAGTAAATAGAAAGATTTAAGTTAGCACAGTATTGATTTTAATTATCGGCTTACAAATCTCATTGCAATATTATTCTTTGCGACAAAGAACGATATATTTTTTTCCTAATTCTTAATCTAAAGTAAAACAAGTTTATTTCGTTATTGCATCATATACTTTGAGTGGCATAACAATGCGCAAGAAAGCAATTACGAATAAATCCATGCAAAAAAATAATTAAAGAATAACTTACCAAAGTTTATTTTTTACGCACACATGCGAGCACTCATTTTATAGATAAAAACACATAAATTTATATAATTTTTAAATCATTAACTTACCTTCTTGAAATGGGGCTGTTTCTATATTAAAAAGTTCAATATCGGTATTTTTCGGACCGATTTTCATAATGACCGATGAAGCCGTCGTTGTCTTGGTCTTATTTTCGAAAACTAATCTAGGCTTCCAGATATTTTTGTCTAATACATCCACATTGTAATCACTTATTTCAGGTTCTATAATATTTGGAGGTCTTAAATTTACATTACTTGTTTTCGTATCGTTACCACTCCAGTAATCATCTTCATATTCAATTGATGCACTGGATAAATTAAAATCATTTATGTTATCAGAATTATGCAACTCTTTTTCTTTCGCAGTATTTTCAAACTCCCGTCCTCTTCTTGACAACTCAAGTTGTTTATTGGAAATTTTCTCTGTTGTTGTCATCAGCGTTGTCGTAAACAAAGTATAATTATTTTCAGAATCTATTAAAAAAAAAATATGTAGTTTTAATAAAACATTTAGATGTAAATTGCAAAATTTGAATATATATATATATATATATATATATAATTATAGCATAAACAATCAATCCAATGATAATCAACAACTAGTTTATAATGGTCCCCAATGCACATTACATTAAGTGATAAATAATAACCGTTTTTGTCGATAGAGAAAGAGAAAGAGAGAGAGAGAGAGAGAGAGAGAGAGAGAAAGAGAGAGAGAAATTGTTTATTTTCCTTTCATAGAGCTTTAAGAATTTTTTCAGAATTTTTTATCAACTTTTTAATACTGCATTTTCTTATTTTTATCAACATGAGAAAATACGGTATTAAAAAATTCTGAAAAAAATTCTTAGAGAGATCTATGAAAAGAAAATAAACAATTTTTGTCTCTTGCAGTTTTTCTATAAAGTTGATAGTATTTGAGTAAAAAATTATTAAAGACCAATTTTTTTGATAATTTTTAATAATTAATATCTCGTTAATTATTGCGAAAATTGCAAAATGGTAGAGGATTTTTCAACTCAGTTTAGTTTCTATCTACATATACTCTATTGCAGAAATCTTGCCGGACACCCTGTATATAGAAAATTTTTAAATTAAGAATTAAAAAGATATAATGATAATATAAATTCAAAACAATTGAACATTAAAAAGAAAATCAGCAAGTAATGTAAAATAAAATTAATTAAAAGTAGTGTAAGTTGAATGACCAAATAATATATTTCAATATAATAATTGTACTATTAAAAATGTTGTTCCAGTTGATAGGGTTTTGAGTACTATGTGATTGATGGCTCTTTGAATGCTTTTGATTGTCCTCAATTTCTTTTGTGATGTAATGACCTTTTATGCCATTTGCATTGACATATATTCCATTTGGATAAAAGTTTGATCTCGGATGTTCAGTTGTATTCGTAGATTCTAAATTACAAAACGTTAGAGAGTATAATTTTTAAATAATTTTGAGACAATATAATGAACTAAGTATAATAAGTATTTGAGCTATTTTAGTATATATGTCTTGTATATATCATATATATATATATATTAGGTGTTGGAATTAATTCGTAGCGTTTTACAAGTGATGGGAAATACTTTCATTAATGTATTTTTTAATGCTCATGTGAAATAAATAACATTCTTTCATTAAAAACGCTACGAATTAATTCCAACACCTAATATATATATATATATGATATATACAAGACATATATACTAAAATAGCTCAAATACTTATTATACTTAGTTCATTATATTGTCTCAAAATTATTTAAAAATTATACTCTCTAACGTTTTGTAATTTAGAATCTACGAATACAACTGAACATCCGAGATCAAACATCAAGCAAATAAATGAATAAAAATTAGAAAGTTACACTTACAAACCTAAATTTATTTGATTCTTTGAATTTGACAAGACATTTGTTTTTAATGCCCACTGTGCGGTGTTTGCATTTGTTTCTTTATCAACTGTGCTTTGTTGATATATATTTTTGCCAAATTGCTGTTGCAATTTATCATCTTGACTGGCCATACCTATGAAATATTAAACTTTCTCATTCATATTTAGTTAGATAATAAATTTTGTGTAAAAAAAACTTTTTCTTAATAATAATAAGCTATGAATACACGAACATTTCGAATTTTTTATGTATATAATTTCTGATTTATAAATTTAACTCTAAACATATACATGAATTTCCCAAACTCAATTGAAGTTTCGTTTGTTCCATATACGAAGAAAAGAAAAGAGAAAGTTCCGTGTTTTGTAACTTAATATATAAATCCTTTTGACATTATTATGCAGGTTCCTAAATCTCAAAACTTTAAAATAAAAAAAGGTTTTAAATATATTTAATTTAAATCAGAGTTACAATCTATAAAAGTTACAATCTATCAACACACTGGATCTTCCAGACCCATAGTGTGTTTTCGAATTTTTCAGCTGTATGTGTGTCTAGAATTAATTATTTATATAATATTCACAACATTGATCCATAGTTGATTAATATGTATTATATAAATTAGGGATATACATCGTAAAATTACCGGATACCGGATATTCGGATAGAATGTAACATCGGATTAACCGAGGAAATATCTCTTAAAAAAAAAGCTTATAGAGAAAAAGATATTATATAGCATCATGAATATTCATATTTATTTTTAGAACGTTTATATAAGAAAAAATCAATAATTTAATGATATCAAATTTCAACCGGATATATTCCGGAATACTAATATCCGACTATCCGGTTGAATAGTAAAAAAGTGCCGGATAATACCGGCACCGGATACTTTCCGGATATCCGGTGCATCTCTAATATAAATATTTTATTACTTAAATGTATATAATGTATTTATTTACTTATCTTACTGTATACATTTTTAATTTTTCATGAAACATCAACATGCAATATAATTCCCATACATATTATTAGATACATATTTCTTGCATCATAACTACTAAAAAGCAATATTATATTTGTATATTTGTATTATTTCAATGATATCATGCTGATAATAACTAAATTTTATGTACAATTCACAAAGTTAATTCATGCAGCGTGCAAATATTCGCCAGTAAAGTTTGCAACAGCACATTATTATTAATTTGTACTATTATTATTTGTACAAGTGTACAAGTATAAATGTACTAACAAACTTTTTAATTTAATTGAAAATAATAATATATATAAATTCAATGAAAATATCTAATAAATTTAATTAAAAAATTAATCTAATCTAAATATACAATAAACAAACATAAATGAAATATTTTTACATAACAATCGTAATCACGAAAATATTAATTAAGTATCATAATTTTATATACATACAATTTTATATAAAAATATGTAAGTAAATTAATGATTTATTAAAATAATAAACAAGTTTAACATTAATTTTTATTTACCTTGATCCCACGAACGTGTTTGAATTTCCATCTGTACTTTCTGTTGATCATGCCATGTACTCGGGTTGAAAGCAAAAGATCCATTTGATTGATTCCAAGTCGTATTTTCTTGTCCTATCCAAGTAGGAAGTAATCTATCTTGTCGCGATTTATTCTGATTTGAATTTTTAGTAAATTTATTATTATTACTATTATTTAGCAAAACATTTTCAGCGAATGGAAAAGTATAATTAGAACTAGGATAATATAATCCTGGCATCGTCCAATTATAATCTTGCTTAATCGGATGCAAATCATGATCGGTCCTTTGACTATCTAATAAATCAGAAACGTTAGAAAACTTTGTTTCATTATGTACATTAGAAAACTGACTGTTATTTTCATTGTATTCTTTAGAAGGAAAATATGGTTGATGTCGTCTTTAATTTGTTTCATTTGACGCAACATGTTCAAAATAATGATGATCGTAATGATTAGAATCAAAGTGCCAATGACTATTACCTGCATTTGGAGTATATCCTTGGTATCCTTGATCATATTTTTGATCACCAATAAGAGTAGTAGGATTACCGACGTTCCAATTTGGATTTACTGACGGATTTGATGTAGGTCCATAATTATGATAATGATGGTGATGATGATGATGATGATGATAACCAGGAGGATAATATCTATGATCATAACGATGATTTTGATTCCTATGCTCGTATGACCACGATCCTTCTGGACGATCGGAATGATAAACTGGTTGTGGATTTTGATCAATTCTATGGTTTTCCATCCATTGCCTGTCTTGAAACTCGTAATTGTTATCAAAGGATTGTCTCAAATTTCCATTACTTGGTTTCCATTCTAGATGTGGTCCATAATCTTGATATTGACTTTCTCTAGGTGTATGATCGTAATCATAAACATGATGTTCAGAACGATCATAAAACGGCCTTGGAGTTGTCCATGTTGATATCCAAGATGGACTTGAAGATGTCGTAAATGGTTTCCAGGTTGATTTAAATGTTGGATTTTGATTTGATCGTGATGTAGTAGAAGCAACAAGTGGAATCCAAGTAGTATCCTCCATCCTGTGTACCTTATCATCAAATTTACCTATAATTCAAAAAATATGAATTTATTATTAGAATTTATTATTTTTAGAATATTTTAGAAAATATTAATTAATAACAGATCCTGTTAAAAATAATTTATAATCGTTTAAATAACGTATTCCACATTGCGCAAGTCACCAAACTATAATAGTGATAGACCGCCCGTTCAAACTGTTTGACATTTTGGTTATAAAAAAAAATGTAATTATAAAATACTTTTCAATATCATGCATGAATGCATACATTTATAATTATGCTACGTGTATACAGAATGGTTCACTTAAACCAAACACTTCGAATATTTTACTTATTTCTGATGACAAAAAATATTTCAAATGAAAATGGAATAGTTTTAAGAGACGTTCACGTTGTTTTTTTTTATCACTTCCATTTTTTTAAATGAAATTATACAATTTTTGTACATGGTAAATTTCTCTAATTATTCTCCATATAAAAGGAGAAAGAAAAGATATATAAAAAACCAACAGTTTACGATATATTTTATATTTTATTTTAACATATGTTGATATTAAATGTTAAATATCTGATAAACTATTGATTTTTTTTTAATATCTCTACTTTAATATTTTTATATGCAGAATAATTAAAGGAATCACATACTATGTAAAAAAAAATCATATAATTCAATTTTAAAAAATGGAAGTGGTTTTCATGTACTTTATTGCCTCCATTTAAAAGATAAACAACATAAGCAAAATACATCGAAATCCACTTTCACTTGAAGTATTTTTTCGTATTTAAAAGTAAGTAAAATATTCAAGATTTTAGGTTTAAGATGTTAAAAAATGTATAGTTCCCCTATTTATAAATCATAATTTTCCAGAAATTTTTTAACACTAACTTTTTAAAAGAACATGTTTCTATCATGTTTATAGGAAAGTTTTGTTCAGAATTAAATTTCCTGTAAAATTTCAAAATTTGCTTAAAACGTTTACAGTTTCTATATAATAAACACAAATAAGAATATTGCAGATTACTTGGTATTTCACGTAGCATATTCAACAAGTCACTTAAAATCGACATGATACAGAATATATCAATGATCGTTTAGTTCAATCTAATATTGATTGTTATGAATAATATAGAATTTGTCAACACATTGACTTAATTACTAATATATCTACATATGTATATCGTACATATTAAACTAGTTTTCTTAGAGATAAGTTCTATTGAAAAAGATCACGTCACAAAGAGAGTTAACAAAATCATATAATTAAGACACGTAAAAACAAAATCATATAATTAAGACAAGTAAAACACTTTATTGTTTCAAATCAGTATGTGATTTTTTTTAATTATGTAATTTAAAAAGTCATGTAATGACATGTTTTTTTATTCTATTTCTATTATTCAATTCTTTAAAATTCGATAACTATAAGATCACATGCGATAGATAAAATTATTTCTCATATGATTTTTCAAATTACGTGATTTAAAAAAATCACGTATTGATTTGAAACAATCCGTTACGTGATTTATTTATTTTAGGTTTCATTATTTCGTAACTTTGTGACGTGATCTTTTCTACTAGAGAATATAATTACAAATTATTTTAACAAAAATGATAAATTGCTAAAATTAACAATTTGCATTATTTGTTGCAATTAATATACCTGTTTTGCAGCTGGGTACGTTATGTGGCCAATCACAAACCGTTGTAACAGGATTGAAAGCTGTTCCAGGACCACAGTCCATTACGTGAGTAACACCATTTGCACATTGAAGGAATTTTTTACACGTCTCCGGATGAGGCAATAATCCGATGAAATCCGCAGGACATGTAATTTTCTTTGCTTCGATATATTTCGCACTATCATACTCAAAATTAAAATTTGGAGATGCAGATGGTACTTTTTTATCAGATTTAAAAATATCTATATATAACAGAATACGTTTAAATAAAACTTCACATTATTTTTACGATAAAACAAATTATTTTTTACACTAACTAATCATTTATTATTACCTTCGCAACCCTTTACATTATGCGGCCAATCACATGTACCAATAGTGGGATTGAAAACTGTTCCAGGGCCACAACTCATAATATAAGTTGCACCGTGTGCACATTGTACAAATTTCGTGCAATCTCCATGATGTGGTAATAAACCAATTAAATATGGTGGACATTTTGGTTCCTGTAAAATGTCAAATAAATCGATAAAGTATGATGGATATGCGAAATGTATATTAAAAAATATGTATATTAAAAAAGAAATGTTTTGTTTAAATCACAATATATTATCAAAGTTAATAAATTTGAAAAATAAAATAAAATTTTAATTTATATTTAAATTTATAATAATTTATAATTCATAATATATTGTTAAAAACGCACTTGCAACTTCTGTAATTTTCGATTAATTTGGAATACAGAATCTGACTCTTTGAAATACGCAGGTTCCTCATAGCATTTTACTTTATGCGGAAAATCACATTCCAAAGTATCAGGATTAAAATGAGTGCCTGGAGCACAAGGTTGAACAAATGCACGACCCTTCCAACAATTGACGAAGAATTTACAATCTGGTGGATAAACAAATTGCCCTGTGGAATTGTTGTCAGGACATTCAACACCTAATCGAGGATTATATCGGGCTATTTTGTGCTGCGATTTTCGTGAAAGAAGTAAATTTCCTTTTCGTGGTTTCTGTAAAAAGATAAAACCGATATTATTGTAATGCAAACAAATACGTGAAATAAAAATTGAAATAAATAAGAGACTTTTAAAAGCTCTTTAATCTTAAAACTTTAAATTTTAAAATTTAGCTTTATAAACTTTTTTTATTTAAAACGTTGTACATCAAAGTTTATTATATATGTACTTTTCAAATTTGTATGTTATATATTTAGAGAAGTATAAAGAATCATAAAAAAATATGTATAAAGGTTTTATATCTCAGTAAAAATGTTTTGAAAATAAAATTATTAGATATCTTGTACAATATCTTGAATATTGATTTAGTTTTTTGAAGGTTTTGTCAAGAAATGGCATTAATGTCAGTGTTGTCGAAGACATTCCAATCACAGCAATTATTTCTTAATGCTTTAATATTACTCTATGATATTTAATCATTTATTGACAATAGATGCAATAAACATCGTGTTTATACCATTTAAAAAATGGAGCTTCCTAAAAACATTTTCGAACGTTGCTTTTGTTTTTTAATCAGAAGAAAACGGCGACTGAAGATCATGGAACTCTGATAGAAATTTATGGTGTTGTATCAATTAAAACATGTGAATATTGGTTATATCGATTCAAAAGTAGTGATTTCAATGTTAATGATAAAAGTTGAAAAATGCAGTTTGCAAGCATTATTGGACGAAAATCCAACACAACTTATCCACGTCAAAACTTATCAAAGAATTAAATATTGATTGTGCAACAGTTATTAAACGTTTATGTGATATGTTGTTTAAATAAATTAGTTAGAAAAAAAAACCCTCAAAACTAAATCACACTCCTAATACAAACGATATTTAATGAATAATTCTGTTTAGATATATAAAAAGAATTACCGTGCTGTCAATATCTACACCTTCATACAAATCTTCATTCTCAAATTCTATCTGCATTTTTTTGTTCTCATCATTTTTCAATGATTTATGTTCAAAATCAATCTCGTTTTGAGGCCGAATGCGATTTCCATATTTTGATTCATTCTTAAAGTATCCGTAATTTTTATCAAATTCTGTAAAATCTTCGTACTGAAAAGGAAATTTCAGACTTTCTTGCTGTTCCAATTTATCAAATTTGAAATTACGCTGTTGTTCTGGAACTTTTTCAGAAATCTGTTCGGGAATATCAATTTGCGTTCTTTGTTCAATTTCACTACCCGAAGTCTTCCGCCAAGGGCTCCAATTCTTTGTGCCAGATTTGGATGTAATATTATCCCACAATTGATGCCATATTGGAAAAGGAGATGTTGTTTGAACACGCGAGTGTATTTTCTCAGTTGAATGCCAAGGAAGTACTAATTCACGACGTTCTGGCGGTTTTGTAGTTGTTAATCTTGGATTATAAATCTGCGATAATAAAAATTGTCAAAATAATATTAGGTGTTGGAATTAATTCGTAGCGTTTTACAAGTGATGGGAAGTACTTTCATTAATGTATTTTTTAATGCTCATGTGAAATAAATAACATTCTTTCATTAAAAACGCTACGAATTAATTCCAACACCTAATATAAAAAATAGTCTTGATTTTTATTATTAAAATTCCCAAATAGATCAACATTTATATCAAATTTCTTCGATTTATTGTCGTGAATAAAATATACTTATATACTTTAAAATTAATTAATAAATTTGATTACAGTAAATGCAATAAATTACATATCAAGTAAGTGAATAAGATATATTTAATAATTCTTTGATAATTGCTTATAGTTCCCCAGTTTTTGTTAAAAAGTGTATAGGTATCTAAATTTTATTTAACAAATTAAAATTTTGACAATTGCTACAAATTAGCTACATTTATAAATATTGCACTTTGTCATCGTATTATTTTTGTTTATATCAATATATACAAGACTATAATAATAATTACTTAATTATGTTGTGTACACTTTACCATAAAAAAAAGCTTACACATAATTTTAAAAAATTTTAGCAATGTAATTAATAAAGAGTATTTTAAGAATAAATGACAGAAATTTTAAGGAAATAACACACGTTTTCAGTCTTCATCTAATTATATGTTTTTGCAGTCTGATTGACATATCTGGTAGTAAATTTACATTACATTTCAGACATATATTTTCATATAACAGGCAATTGATGGGCGCAAGTAATATTTTACAATTCATCAGATTCTGATTTCCAAACATCAGATTATTTATCACATACTAAGTATTATATTATTATTACATTGATAAAGTACATCATTATTTTTATCAAACTTTTAATTTAAAAGTAAAGTAAATTTTTTTACTTCATCAATTTTAGAAAAAAAGAATAAGACTAAAAATTTTGCATTACAAATTTGTATCTCCATACATATTATTATAAATAATAATAAAATATTAATACTTTTAGTGACCAATCAAGTTTGCCATAGTCTTTTTACTTCAATCTCAGTTAATGCAGTCTAGTCTGCATTCAGATTATAATTTTAAACATAGTGTCTCTTGTTTAAGATAAAATTGAAATGGCTACGTAAATCACAAAAAGTCACTTGTAAGTAAACAATCCCATCACATACCGCGGTAGAAAAAGCAGCTATATAAAAGAGGCAGAGAGCAGCGAAGAAATAATTAAAACACGACGTCATTTTCGATACTTCCACAATACACCGAGCATCATATTATACTGATCTCCGGCTCCTTCTAAAATCGTGGCGCCGAGCTTGAGTGCTGATCGGCGTCGCTTTATCCAGAAGCAGATATTGATATACTCGAGGAAACAAGTGCTCTGATTCATGAAAATCGGAGAGTTATCAGCTAGAAGGGTTAAAGATCATCTTAACAAAAGATAATGAAACGAAAAGAGAAAAAAGATCTCGATTTGAAATATGTGCTCACGCACACGCATATGTACATAGAACAGAAAAAAGGATGCCGGATGCAAACACGAGAGTCGACACAACAAACAAACGACTGCAAACAGAAATATTTGCCAATTGATGGTGCGCGAGCAAACTTCTGCTTGTTGATGATTATTGCAAGCTAACCTTATAAAGAGACCGACGCGAGGAACATGGATAACACGGGATGAAAAATGAATAAAATTGCTATTTCATGCGGCCTTTTATTACAGTCTTTAGAATCTCATCACGGAGACGAAATGTATTTACAATTTATTTATCGATTATTTATTTTGACTAATTGTTGAAGAATTTGAAGTCGTAATTGATGGACTCACATCAGTAAATGCAAGTTAAAATAATTGCTTCGAAAACATATATAAATGTGCTCGTATTATAAATATAATATAGGCTCTCTGCTTTCAGCTTGCATTTCCATCGCTGCACGTCACATAATACAGTATCTGATAATACACTCCTCCAAATTCGGGTACATTGTGTAAGATTTTTCCTGCGCAAAAAAATAATATTATCTGACACTAATTTTGTCTTTGGCTTGCAAAGTATCATTTCCAAAGTATTTTTTGATGTTGAAAACGATGCTTAGAATTTATCTACCACGTCACATTTCTTAGAAAAATTAGAGTAACATAGGCAAGAAATTACAATTTTAACCATATTTACAGTAGTATTAAGGAAATTTTATTTTGTCAATTTTGTCTACACTAATTTGAAATGTTTTTACTTTGCTCTTTTATAAAAAATGAGTTTTTTATTTTTATTTTTTTTGTTTTTAATTTTTTACGAGAGTTACGTAAGTTTGAAATTATTACTGTCTGATTTATTCGAAGTCGAGAAAAATTCGTGATGTGACGGAATAATAAAAATAAAACAAAAAATAAAAAAAGAATACAAAAAAGTAATAAAAAATTAAATAAAAAAGAATATACATAAAAAAAGAAGTGTAACAAAGATCATCTTCACGTAATATTTTCCGAAAATACACATATTGTGGTTGAATAATCTTCTAGCAAGTGTCATACTATCCTCAGAATGGCCTAGTTTACTTACTTGTGTACTTGATATGCGTATTAACTAATAACTTTCTATTAAAATTCTCTTAATTTAAGCAATGTATTTAAAGATTAATATACTAAATTTATACAATATGCATCAAAATGATTAATCAAACACACATATTATATACATGTTTACAGTGTTTACACATATCACTGAAATTAAGACAACTCAATAGAAAGTTACTAATTAGTATCCGTATCAAGTGTACAATGTAAACTAGGGCAATAATCAAGAGGCAGTAGTATCTCGTACAAAGTAAAGGCGCAATACGATAGCGCCAAACAACGTGTATACCTAACTTCAATCTTATGTAACTCATAAAAAATCATATAGAAACAAAAAAACTTATTTTGTATATAAAAAATAGTATTTATTTTCTTAATCACAATTCCATTCTAAATATGATCAAAATCATCACTTTTCACTATATTATACCAATTTTCTCAAAAATGTGACGTGATAGAACTTTTCTGTGCACGGATTCAAACTAGCGACTAAAAATCTTCGAGAAATGACATTTCACGTGTCAAAGACAAAAAAAAAGTTAAATTTTATCAGACAGTATAATGCATAAAAATCTATAAAATAATGACAATTACAAACCAATAGGAATTATTGACAATTGCAAATTGACAATTTCTCCGAATTAGCTTTATAGATCAAATCTTTTTACACAATAAAAGCACAAAAAAACGCACCACTCTAACGAGAAAATCGGAGAAAAAAATAAAAATTCACTTTATTTCAGCTCTTACAACTATCATCTCTATATTTCCCTTATAATTATAGTTATAATTCCTTTAGTGCAGAAATTCTATAAGTCATACGCGCGCGCGTACCAAATAATATATTCCCCGGAATCGTATGACATGCACAAACAATTCTGAGTTTGCAAAATTATGATCGAAGGTCTAACAAAAGAGATATTCCAAAATTAAAGTCGTGTATATTATTGACTAAATCATAATTTTTGTATAACAATTACTTTTTCCTCTTTTACAAAGATTCGAAAATCCTTTTCCAGCATTAATATGTGTTTGTGAGATGGATTTTATGCCGAAAAAGATAAAAAAATTTTCTTAAAATTTCAATTTCAATCGAAATTTTTTGTCGTTCTTAACATAAACTTCAAGTCACAGACACGTATTAATATTTTAATTCCGGAAAAGGAATCTGTAAAAGAAGAAAAAAGTAATTGTTACAAAAATTATGATTATTGTCGATTATAGTCTATAATATGGACAGCTTTAGGATGAGAATAAATCAAATAGAGAAATAAACCTATTTTCAGTCAAAGCGGATCTTATAGAAGTGTTTAAATATTTTGTACGCGGAGCGAATTTATACTCAGCACAGAATATTTATGATAAATATTATTCATTATTATTATTCATCTCTTAAAATGTTATATAAATATTTTATACATATTTTATATAAAGCTTTATTCGAATATTAAAAGATAGACTAAACTATTTAATATAATATTTATGATAAATATAAATAAATATTTCTGGTAGTTTTTACTTGAATTATAATGTCTTTTAAATATTTCCGTAGCATTTACTACAAGATTTGCAGTAAATATTTCATAAATATTGTGTGTTGTCTGGATATACATATCCAATTCTGTAAATCGTGTGCCGAAATCTTTTTCGATCTTGAAATGCTATCATAAACAAAACTAGAATAACAATATCATACTCAATTACTTATCAATTTAATATGGAATTTACTAATTGACCGAATCCAAATGGTTTCGGTTCGAGGTTATATTCAATTTTCAGTTCTGATTCCAATCCTTTCATCGGTGATCGTAATCATTTAGATTTCGGGTCTTTTTCGGTTACCCCGCAGACAATAGGAGTAGTAGAGTAAGTCTTAAGCTTTAAGGAATTGACCAATCTTAGTCTATTATTCTTCTCAAATTTGATTGTGATTGATCAATTTCTTAAGGCTTAAGGCTTACTACATTCATTGTGTATATGTGGGATAAGAAAATCAACTAATCAAAGTCTTTTATTTTATACTCTGATTGGTTAATTTTCTTATATTTTATGTGTTACCCCGCAAACACAATGAGTGTAATAAACCTTAAGCCTTTAGAAATTGATCAATCACAATCAAATGTGAGAAGAATAACGAGTATGATTGATCAATTCCTTAAACTTAAGACATTACTATTCCTATTGTATTTGCGGGATAATTGAAAAAGCCCGAAATTCAAATGGCATCGACGAGATGTTATATAAGAATCCTGGGCAAATTTTCGTGACTATTAATGAGATCCCGATGATCTGGAAATAATTGAAGAATAATAACATCGACAATTGATATAAATTTGCGATTAACATAAATATTTGTATAATATTAGGTGTTCACGAGATACAGATTACTAAAGCCATCTATTGGAAAAATAATGGATTTCTTTTTACTATACCTAATGCATTATTTATGATCTTTTATTAAATGCTGCATAAACATAAGTTACATTCACAAATTTCATTTTGGTCCAAATATTTGAAATGCGTAAAACATAATTATATTACACATTAATTTTTAAACATGCTTTTTTAACATAGAGTTCTGTTTAACATAAAGATTATAATATTATACTCTTGATTTATTAAATTATTTATTATTTCATTTTACTACTATATTGATAGAAAGTAAAATTTATACATATGTATTAATTTTTCTATCTAAATTTTTATTAGTCTTCCATATATGTATCTTACATTTCATGTAATATATTAAGCTCTATAACATGCTTTTCAAAGCAGAAACGAACAGTGCAGTAATACAGAATGGCTAATTTTTTCGTTTTAGCAAGTGAAGTGCTAATATATATATATATAACTCTATTATATAATCAAATAAAAAAAAGAACCGTAACATTATTCATATACTTTCTTATGCATTGAAAGCAAAAAGATTATGTTTAATAAAGTTTATTTTTTTTACTATGTTTTGTTCTCTACATTCGTTTAAAAATATTTTAAAAATAAATCATTACAAATCAAAGTAGACAAAAATATTAATTAGAAATTATTGCTTTTTGTTCGTTTTCAAACTTAAAGTATTATTCTATTTTTGTTCTTCGATTAGCTATTGAATACGAATTCGCAAAAAAAAAGTTATCCAATGAATATACTCAAAATATTTTATCATGACAAAATCTTTATCACGATAAAAACGTGCTCAAAGCAATAAAATATCAGCATAATGTATTTTTAACAAGAAAAAATGAACGCAGCTAGAGAGCCAGAAAGTAAAAAAAATATATTTTAGTGAAGTACAGTTGCTTTTGCTAATTTTTTGTTTTTTATTTTTTTTGTTTTTTATTTTTCTGACATTTTTGTTTTTTTTTTTAATTTTTCTGTGACATGTGCTTCTTATTGTATATGTATATCATAGAAAATGACCACTATAGGCGTGGCACGCATACCACAGTTGGCCACCTTTGTAACACATTTTCGAGACTAACATGCTGTGAACTTTCATGATGAATTGAATGAAATCAATCTTATTATTAGTTTAACTAATTTTTTTTATCTTTTCTTTCAACTTTAATACAATAATATAATAATGGTAAAGAATTAAATAAATAAGTTAATAAAATTGATTTGAAATTGTTCATGCGATATTTTTTTAAACATATGACAATAACAAAAATTAATAGCTTTTACAAATTAAATTATAAAATATCTAACAAAATACAATTATAAGCAAATATTTGCTTTTAAAAGTAAATATAACATTGTTTGCATGTTTTA